GTGACACTGGGGGTGACAGGGGTGGCACAGGGGGTGACACAGGGACACACAGAGCTCAGGGGGTGACACAGGTGACACTGAGGTGACACACAGGTGGCACTGGGGTGACACTGAGGTGACATTGGTGGTACTGAGGTGACACTGGGGGTGACAGGGGTGGCACATGGGGTGACACAGGGACACACAGAGCCCAGGGGTGACACAGGTGACACTGAGGTGACACTCGAGGTGACACTGAGGGTGACAGGAGTGACACAGGAGGTGACAGGTGACACAGGGATGGCACAGGAGGTGACAGGAACCACACAGAGGGTGACAGGAGTGACAAGTGGCACTGAGGTGACACAGGAGTGACACACAGGTGACATTGGTGGCACTGGGGTGGCACTGACCGGCGTTGGGCCCCCCGGGGACATTTGGGACAATCAGGGACATTTGGGACTGTGAGGACACTGGGGACATTGGGGACATTGAGGGGACATTGGGGACACACCTTGAGCAGCTTCTCATCACACTCTGTGATGACACCTTGGGGACTTTTTGGGGATATCTTGGGGACACTTTGGAGATACTTTGGGGACATCTTGGAGACACCTTGGGGACACTTTGATGACACTTTAGGGACACTTTGGTGACACTGGGGACGCACCTTGAGCAGCTTCTCGTTGCGCTCCACAGTGACACCTTGGGGACACCTTGGGGACACTTTGATGACACTTTAGGGACACTTTGGTGACACTGGGGACGCACCTTGAGCAGCTTCTCGTTGCGCTCCACAGTGACACCTTGGGGACACCTTGGGGACACTTTGATGACACTTTGGGGACAGTTTTGGGACAGTTTGGGGACATTTTGGGACGCACCTTGAGCAGCTTCTCGTCGCGCTCCACGGTGACACCTTGGGGACACCTTGGTGACTTTTTGGGGACAATTTGGGGATACTTTGATGACACCTTGGTGACACCTTGGGGACACTTTGATGACACTTTGGGGACAGTTTTGGGACAGTTTGGGGACATTTTGGGACGCACCTTGAGCAGCTTCTCGTCGCGCTCCACGGTGACACCTTGGTGACTTTTTGGGGACACTTTGGGGATACTTTGATGACACCTTGGTGACACCTTGGGGACACTTTGATGACACTTTGGGGACAGTTTTGGGACAGTTTGGGGACATTTTGGGACGCACCTTGAGCAGCTTCTCGTCGCGCTCCACGGTGACACCTTGGTGACTTTTTGGGGACACTTTGGGGATACTTTGATGACACCTTGGTGACTTTTTGGAGACACCTTGGGGACAGTTTTGGGACAGTTTTGGGACAGTTTGGGGACACTTTGGTGACATTGGGGACGCACCTTGAGCAGCTTCTCGTCACGCTCCACGGTGACCTCGGCCGGGTTGGTCTCGCGCGCGGCGTCCTCGGCCGGGGCCGCGCCCTGGCCCTGTCCCTGTCCCTGTCCCTGGCCCTGTCCCTGTCCCTGTCCCAGCAGCTCCTCCTCCTCGGCGCTCACCTCCTCGATCAGGTAATCGGTGATGTGCCGCAGCACCGGGTTCTGGGCCTGCAGGGGACATTGGGGACATGTTGGGGACACCCTGGCGACACCTTGGTGACATTGGTGACCCCACTGGGGACACCAAGGATTCCCTGCTAACACCTCAGAGAACCCCAGTGACACCCTGGTGACACCCTGGGGATACTGGGGACACCGGGGATCCCCTGGTGACACCCTGGTGACACTGCTGACCCCACTGGGGACACCGGGGATCCCCTGGTGACACCACTGGGGACATTGGTGACCCCCTGGTGACACCGCTGACACCGCTGACACCGTGTCTCACCCCGTGCTCAGCGGCGGGCGGCGGCTCGCTGTCCCCGGCGCTGTCCCCGGCCGTGTCCCCAGCCGTGTCCCCCGCGGTGGCGCCGGGGGGGCTCCAGAGGCGCGCGCGGGCGTCCAGCGCCTGCACCAGGCGCGCCGCCAGCTTGATGTCGTGGCGCACGATGGGCCGGTGCTGCGTCAGCCCCGAGACGTTGCGCACGCGCCGCGTCAGGTCGCGGTTCACGCCGGGGCTCAGCTCGCACTCCCGCAGCTGGGGACCCCAAAAATCATCAGAATCACCCCAAAAAAATCCATCAAAATAGCCCCAAAACCAGCCCCGAGACGTTGCGCACGCGCCGCGTCAGGTCCCGGTTCACGCCGGGGCTCAGCTCGCACTCCCGCAGCTGGGGACCCCGAAAACGCCAAAAAACCCCATCAAAACAACCCAAAAAACAGCAAAAACATCCCAAAAAACCTTCAAAGTATCCCAAAAACCAGCAAAACCAGCCCAAAACCCAGCCCCGAGACGTTGCGCACGCGCCGCGTCAGGTCGCGGTTCACTCCTGGGCTCAGCTCGCACTCCCGCAGCTGGGGACCCCAAAAACACCCCAAAAACACCCAAAAACCCATCAAAACAACCCAAAAAACAGCAAAAACATCCCAAAAAACCTTCAAAGTATCCCAAAAACCAGCAAAACCAGCCCAAAACCAGCCCCGAGCCGTTGCGCACGCGCCGCGTCAGGTCCCGGTTCACTCCTGGGCTCAGCTCGCACTCCCGCAGCTGGGGACCCCAAAAACACCCCAAAAACACCCAAAAACCCATCAAAACAACCCAAAAAACAGCAAAAACATCCCAAAAAACCTTCAAAGTATCCCAAAAACCAGCAAAACCAGCCCAAAACCAGCCCCGAGCCGTTGCGCACGCGCCGCGTCAGGTCCCGGTTCACGCCCGGGCTCAGCTCTCACTCCCGCAGCTGGGGACCCCAAAAATCATCAGAATCACCCCAAAAAAATCCATCAAAATAGCCCCAAAACCAGCCCCGAGACGTTGCGCACGCGCCGCGTCAGGTCCCGGTTCACGCCCGGGCTCAGCTCTCACTCCCGCAGCTGGGGACCCCAAAACACCCCAAAAAACCATCAAAATAACCCAAAAATCCATCAAAATCCATCAAAA